GGCTAGAACTTTGAAGAGAGGGACACGGAGACTGGGGGCAAAGACTGGCGCTGTTTTCTTCGTGACAGTGCCAGTTCCATGACTTGTGTTGTGTAGGGTTGTTGGTTTTTTTTTAATCTTGGTAAATGATGGAGCATTACTTTATTACTTTTTTTTTTTCTTTCTTTTTTTTTTTTTTTTGCCATTCTTAACATAATAAATAGAGGAGAGATGTCTCTGTGGTGTTGCACTGGTATCTCTGAGATCTAGGCTTTGTTCCAGGCTTCTGAAATTAATGTGGGCAGATCCATTTATGTCTTTCTATGTCTCAGTTCACTATCTGCAAAAAAAAGAATGATTAACGATCCTAACTCTTAGGGGGATCTTAAGGATTTATATGTAGAATGTGGCACGTTTAGGCTCTACAAGTTTGAAGAGAGTGAAAACCCACAACAAAATAAACCTGGCAGAGTATGTAAAGGTAAATCATGTTCACTCTTCCTCTGTCACTGTTTGGTAGTAGCTACTATCAGTTGCTGCTTTATTTAATTGAATTCAAGCCCCAACGTTAAGTTCCTGTTATCAGGGTGGAAAGCAGCAGAAGAAAATAACAGCACTGTGACAAGACTCACAAAAATTAACATGAAGAGGTTCTCCAGGTTGTCTGTTGTTCTCTCAGAGCAGAGATTAAAACGATTGTTTAACGTATGACTGTTCTTATAGCGTGCCTTTTTCTTTGATGGGCCTGGAGTCAGAAGCACCTTTAAAGTAGTGGAAGATGGCTACCTCGGTCCTTTGGGTGGGTAAATTGGGGTGATACGTGCCCGTGGAGATGTGGGTTGCATTCAGTCTTGCTCCCAAAAGAAAGCAAGCCAATGAACTATACTGTCTAATCCATGCCGTAGTCTAGTGGGTATCTTCTCCGGGCTCTGAGGCAGAGGCTAAGGTACAGCACACAGGGACTGAGCAGCAATTGGGCAACAAACAGAGCAGCACGTTGTAAGCTAGCTGGTGGTGTCGGTGTGATTTACTCTCTCCTGCATTTGGAGGAATCGGCCTGGTTTTTTGGCAGGGTGCAGAGAAACGCAAATGGCTCAGCTTTACAGAGTTGACGTTTGCTCTCAATCTCCCTCAGGTTGAGTAGCTCCACTGAGCAAAGCACTTCATCCCGACTCATACGGAAGCATAAACGCAGGAGGAGGAAACAAAGGATGCGGCAGATTGACAGGGTAAGGTTGGCATCATCGTTTTCCAAGGAGGTGAACCGTGGTTTTGAGTGTGGCACGTGAATTAGGAAGGGATCCAGAACAGATCTGTGCCCTGTTGGGTTCATTGGAAAGGTTCCCCTTGGCTCCAGGCTGCCCCGGACTAAACCTTGAACATTTGAAGTTCTGCAACACTGGAGTCAAGACTCTTTTTCTCCTCTCCCTTTCCCCTTTTACTGTTAAGCGATCGCATTTCTTCTTGTCTCTTTCAAGACCAGCCTCGGCAGGAGAACCTCCTGCAGCGTCTGCCTTTTCCCTTGCTGGAGGAGCATGTGTTTTTCGCTCCTCTCTTTAGGGAGGAGCCGTGGACGCAGTAATTCACACTCCACTGGGCACTTTAGTATTTAAATGTCTGCCTGTCAGTCCTGTAGTCAGGAAGCAGAAATGCTTCAATGTGAAGTCCAGTTGAGAAACCTTAATATAGGAACCTGCTCTGTGTGTTTTGTAAACAAATCTTTGGAGAAAGTGCAGGTTGTGTTCAGATTTTTTTTTTTTTCCTCACAGATTCTAAATGAAGAATAGTTTTTGAGGAGGCCACAGTGGTTTCTGGATGCTTTCCAAACGGAAACCTATTAATCAGTTCCCGATAAATTAATCCTCAATAGTTATTTTTACTATCTTATTCTGAACCATTTAAAACCTTGAGAATTCTCTGTTGTATTTTGCAGTCGTCTTCGTTCAGCAGCATCACTGATTCTACCATGTCCCTAAACATCATCACTGTCACACTCAACATGGGTAAGAGGATAAGCAATGTTGTGGGGTTTTTTTTTAATGATGAATTTCAAGTTATACAGATGTATTTTGTCGCGGTGTAGTAGCCTTTGGAGCCAGGAGAAAGTTCCTTGGTTTGAAAGGATGCCAGCTGAACTAAAGGGGATGGCAGCCGGGAGCTGCTGCTCTGCTGACGGTGCCTGGATTCCCAGTCCAGTACTGGATAGTCGTGAGCCATCTGCACAAGCAGATCGGTGTTATTCCCGAGAAGCCCAGGGAGGGAGCTGGGACTCCAGGGGTTGGGGCTCTGCTCTCATTTCTAGGAACGGTAAGGGGTCAGGCATTGTTAGGAGCGAGAGTAGAAGAGGGCACTGGCAGTTTGCATTTCTGCTGCTCGTGCATTCCGTTGTTTAGCCATTTAGAAATGTGCAGGACTGCCAATTCAGCACCTTTCAGTGGCGCCAAATTCTTCCTGCCACTCTGACATGTGGAAAAAACATTGCCTAATGCTGATCCGGTGCCTAATCTCTAGGTGTAGACATGTCCTTTCAACGTAGTTTCTCTTGCTGATTTTTTGAATGTAACTTTTCAGTGTGCTGTATGAAAAAAATCATGTCTTTAGCAGCAGTTCCGTGCTGCCCTTCCCCGAAGGTGCCAGGCAGACACACACCAGTAGGGTAACCCGAGATCACTGTAAGTCAGACAAAGTGGCCCATGATGTGTTGAGTGAACTGATTTTTTCAAGACTGAACTAGCCTGCTGTTAGCTCTTCGCTGTTATTCCAATCACTTTGTTTGCTTTTTCCCCCCCTACCCTCCACTTTCTATCTGTATAGAAAAGTATAACTTCCTGGGAATCAGCATTGTAGGACAGAGCAATGACCGGGGTGATGGTGGCATATACATTGGCTCTATTATGAAAGGAGGGGCTGTGGCAGCAGATGGCCGAATTGAACCAGGAGACATGCTTCTGCAGGTTGGTCCGTGTCCAAAAATACGTGCTGCTGGCTTGTACATTGGTGGCTCAGCTCAGTCTTCCCACCAGATCCGTGGACTTAGTTAACAGAATTCATTTGTGCTCGGAGAAATGTGTCACAAAGACTATTGTCACTTAAATCTATGGTTCTTTGTGAACTCTGCTCGATAGTTGATGTGCTCTGAGAAGTAATGTTTCTGCAGCTGCTCAAAGGAATGGAAACAGTAACAAGGCAAATAAATTTGGAAATAAATAATGAAAATGTCTTTAACTTCCCTGTTGCAAAGCCTGATCTCTGCTTTTTGCAATGTTTCAGGTGAATGATGTCAATTTTGAGAACATGAGCAATGATGATGCAGTACGGGTTTTACGGGAAATAGTCTCCAAACCAGGGTGAGCATATTACAAAGTCTGGCTACTTTTCCACCGTATGCAGTTGTTGGTATTGGGCAAACCTCAGAGAAATCAACATTTTCATCTCAGTAAGTGACCAGTGTGACTGCTGATTGCAACTCTGAACTTCTCAGTGTAAATGATGAATAGGTGAGACTGGTTCCAACGTACCAGCCAAAACCAACACAAACTAGGAGTTGCCTGGTTTCAGTAGCACTACTTGTTTATACGATGAGCGTTTTAATATCTCAAGAGCTGATCATTCAACAGATTTCACCAATAGTGCTCATGATCCAGAAGGCAGAAACATCCTGATACTGGTTCATACAGAAAATACTTTGACAAGCGTCTCAAAAGCAGTCTCAGAATGTACTTGGCAACTGGTGGACAGGAATAAATTTGTTTCAAAGAGTTCATTGTAGCAGCTACAGCTTCTGTAGGAAAAGTTAAGAGTCACCCTTACGTGTTTTCTTTCTTCCTAGACCTATCAGCCTAACAGTAGCCAAATGCTGGGACCCCACTCCCAGGAGTTATTTCACCATCCCCAGGGGTGAGTACATGTTTGTGCTCTTTGCTGGGTTCCTGTGGAGCCCTCAAGGTCTACAAGATTTTCAGCTGTTTTCAACAGATTTCTGTTCCCTATAAGTCTGCTATTTTTAAGTTTGGTTGTATTGTTTGTTTACTTTTGTTTTGGGAAGCAAGGGGTTAAGATGCTCTTTCTGAGACTCCGCTGCCCACTGAATTAATGGGAGTTTTTCTTTTGGTTCACATGGCTTTGGATCAAGCTCTTAACCTTTTGGTGGGTATATCCTCGTGATCCTAATCTTTCAATTGATAAAAAGTTTGGAGGATAACTATACTTAAGTGTTAAAAAGCCCCGTTTTGTCACATGTACACTTTTTAGAAAGAACGTAAAGTGATTATTTTTAAAATTTGAGGCAAACAACATTGTTTGGTAGACATAAAACCTCTTGAAAATGGTGTAGCTTTAAAACTTCTGGCTTAATAAACCTTTCGGGCTGTAAAAGCTCTGTGCTCATGTGGCAAACCCAGCTGCCTCCTACTGGTGAGTGCGCTGCTTGTGATAACTGAAACCAACTTGTTACCAGTCCTTCTAAGTGAAGATGAGGACAGCATTTTACGTTGACATTAGTGCAATAGACTCGTGCAGCCTATGGGACCTCACTCAGTGAAGTCCTTAGGAAAACCAGCGTAATCAAAAGAAAAATCCCCCAAATCACATAGTTCAGATGTGCTACAGGGAGAGCTGGTGTATCAGTTTGTCCTTTGTTCAGCGAAGGTGCGTGCATTATTATCCAAGGCGAACAGCGGTATATCTGTTGTAGGCTAAACTGGTTGCAAGAATGTGGGGGGGATTTTGTGGAAATACCTAACATAGGCAGAGCTCTTCTACGTAATTTCTGGTTTTAAGGCAATGGAACAACAGCCACTACAATTCAAAAGACAAGAAGTAATCCAGATTCTGGGGAAAACTGAGTTTTATTCCTGGCTTTAAAAATTACTTGTGGCTCTTCTGAAGGTTTGAGTGTAATTTTCACTCTTCTCTGACACCAGTGCCTTCAAACGGTCTTTGTATGTCTTGGCTATTTATTTTGCAAGACTATTCCAGTTCTAAAAAGTTTCATTATAGCTGCTGAAAACACTGAGAGGGGAATTCCATGGTGCCTCATCTCTGCAAATGCAAAGCTTTAGAATTACCTTCCTGATTCACCTTCGGGAGAAGATTCACCTTCTGTCTGAGTGGTTATTTTGGATCCAAGACCCTTTCAAGTAGGGAGAGATCCTCCTGTCAGCCGGGGCAAAGCATTGCTAGTACTTCACGTCACAGCAAAATGAGAATTTCTGTCTCACTGTGTAGAACAGTAGTGAAATATTGTTACTGGACTGGGAACTTCTGTCCCGCAAGTGGAAATATTTCACTCCTCCTGCAATTACAGGAACAGGAGTGTCATGGTTTCACGCTATTTGGCTGGTGTGGCAGTCGTTAGAGGACTGCTGGCAGGGTGTTTTTTGTTCCCGCCTGCTGAGACTGTCTCAGTTGTACTATTAGAATGGCAAGAATTTGTGCAGCCCCAGAAAAATCCTTCTTGTCTATGTCTTAGTGTTTAATGCAAATCTGATTCCATTTGTCTTTTTTTTCCTTTTCCGGTTGTTTTGCAGCTGAACCAGTGAGGCCAATTGACCCTGCAGCGTGGATCTCTCATACCACAGCCATGACGGGAGCGTACCCCCGTTACGGTATGAGCCCCTCCATGAGCATCACCACATCTACCAGCTCCTCACTAACAAGCTCAATTCCCGATTCGGAAAGTAAGTCACACTGCGGCCAGCACAGGGCAGGCGTCTTCTGCTCGGGGCCAGCAGTGCAGAGCTGTGCACAAAACCCACCCCAGCCACAAGCACGGTGAAAACGACAGCCGCCACAGAACTCTCGAATGCTTTCTTAAATTTGTAATTCGTATGGGGAGCATAAAATCTTTTTTTCCCAAGGTCAGACGTTAACGCAGTGGTGTTTTGCTAGGGTTCCCGGTCAGGAAGAGGTGGCTTCTGGTCCCTTTTAGGGTTACAAGGCAGGCCTCCAGCTTCGTCCCCTCAGATGAATGTGAGAGCTTCCGCCTTGCATTTGACTGTCTTTTCATAAATTTAAATGATTTACTTCAGATAGATGTCACTGCACAACAGTGTCAGTGTATGGCTTAGGAAATCTTCCACTGATATTCACATAGCCTTCTTTTATACTTTTTTATACTTTTAGAATTTATTGAACAAGGGAAAAACAAATGTTACGTCCCATGTGAAATTATGGTTAGAGTTCAGCCTTCTTTCCTGGTTTGTCTGTCTGTGGCAGTCATGATTCATTATCTTGGAAATTTTTATTTAAAAAATATGAACTCTTCCTTTTTGTTACTTTTCCTTTGCTTTCTGATGTCAGTGTGGGATAAAAGCTAGCATTTGGTTTGAAATACATGGCAGTAAGGCAAAACAAATAAACGAGGGGCACCTGTCCCTGAGAACACTGTCCGCTGAAGTCCTAGTTCAGGAAAGCGTTCATATTTTAAACAGCACTTCTGTTTACTTGACGTGAAAGTCACTTCACACCTCATTAGTATGTGTTTGTTTCCTGTAATACTGATATAGAAGAATTTCTACGGAGGTGCAACTTTTCTATCAGATTTGTTCATCTGTAGCAAGGAGATTTACTATATTTGTTTATATACACATAGAAGTCTTGAAGTACCTTTAAAGTTCTGAGGAGATTATCTCATTTGTGGAATGGTGCTACCTCAGTATGCAATCACTGAAAGTCAGGTAAATACTTACGTGTTTAACACGGGATGCTTAAATGTCTGCCGGATCCGCAGTCTAAAGTTAGGACTGCGTAGCTTTTTTTCATTTTGTAAGATTTTTCCAGGGAGAAAGGGAGGATATCATTTAGAAAAAACCAACAAAACAAAAGGAACAAGAAAAACAACACTTGGAGGATTTAAAAGACCAATGTCGTGTTGTGATTAGCGATGGAATCTTCCCTGGACAAATGCATGGCTGAAGCACGAAAGTTGCATTTGCAGGGACCAGTTAGGTCCTACCAGACTACACAGGTGTCTGCCTCTTTCTCTTCTACCCTCTCTCAGATTTCATAAGCACGTAGTTCCTGAAATTGCACTTACACCCTTTTTGTAGGCGTGGTGGCTCTGCGTAGTAGCCCCGTTAGATGGTAGGCAGCACCACCAAAGGGGAAATACCTCCGCAGCAGAAAGCAAGTGAACCGCTTACCTGATGACTGCTTTATCCTGAGATGTGTTTTCAGCCTTACAGGTACTAAAGGTTGCTGGAATCAAATGTATTTGCTGATTGCTGTCAAACAAGAGTCTGTTACTCTGCATTCCTCCTGAACTATTCATGTATTGTGTGCCTTGATATATAGCGATGTGATTGGGAAGCGTGGAACGCAGGCGCCCTCTCAATCATACTTTTAAAATAAAGGTTATTTGGGAGCAGAACCACGTTTCTGGAGACAGCTTCTCATTTCTGTGCCAGTGACTTACAACGTTTCCTTTCCTGAACGCAAGAAAATGGGGAGTACCGCTGGCCTTTATTGTGACCTTCTGCTTAGCACTCCTTCCTTCGGTCCATCCTGTCACCCCCCACGCGCGGCAGGCAGCCCTAGGGACAAAGAGGACCTGTCCTGTGAACCTCTTTGGCAGGAAAGACAAAATTGTGGAGGAACGCAGGAGGAGAGAGAGAGAGGCGAGGAGAGACTGCGCGTTGACATCTCAAAGAACGAAGAGCTTCATGCAAAGTGGGGCTTTCTAACTTCTCAGGTTCCACTGCAAGATTCTGTGTTTCAGTCCCTCTGAGGCTGGAGTCACTGGTGCTGGAGGCAAATACAATATCGCTGCTACAGCACCTGGCTGTGAAAGTGGAAGCAGTCAATTAACGGAGTCATCTTAGACAAGTCTCTTTCACGGCTCCTCTTTTTAAGTACTGGGAATGTCCGCTGGTTTACTCTGTTTGTGGAGCACGGCCAGGATAAAGCAAAGAGACTGAACAACTGCTTTCCTTCCGATGAGCCTTCCTGTGCTCTGCAGCCTCTGGATCGGAAGCGGAGCTCTGATATTGGAAGCATTTGCACAGCCGCCATCAGCTCAGTGCTAGTGATTAAAGTAGCTGAGATTTTGGGGCCATATAAATCGCCACTACACAGTAGGAATTATTCCGCGTTAGCTCTTTATTTTCTCAGGTGCTTTTCTTCAAAAACAGGACGATGCAAACCAGGGCGGACTGCGGTGTTTCGCAGTAATTATTGCTTAAAAGAGTGTCTTGTTCTCCAGCAGCGTTCTGGCTGATGCAGGAGATGATTCTCTCGCAGTGGCTGGTGAGTGTTGGACTCGCCGCCTCAGTCGGTGCAAACTCTGCTCCTCGTTTACTCTCCTGACGGTAGATTTTTCCAGCCCCTCTTCTGCCACGACAGGACCCCTTTCTGCAAAGCAGTGCTGTCCCGTTCCGTCAGATTAACTTCAAGTATCTCCATGTTTCTTGAAAGTCTTGCTGTTTCAAAATGCAGTCTGCTGACGTTGTTGGAAAGTTCTCTTTTTCTCCTGTGTGGACTTCAGAGGATTTTGAATTGGGACTTCAAACTATTTCTGCTTGATAGTATTCAGCCCAAGGTGCTACATAATTTCCCGGGGCCCTTTTGTTTGGGCAAATGTGTGCTTCCTTACTCAAAGAAGGATACAAGCCAGTGGTGGTGGTGTTACACGTGGTAGGACTTTGCTTTCCTGGAGCGTACACCTCTTTTATTCCTAGGATCTACAAATGGGAAAAAAATGCCACTCAAAACCAATAACCGAAGCCCTGAGAAAGAGCTTTGCGGTAGATCTGGTTCCCCAGAAAGGAGTTACCGTCTGTGCCGTTCCTCAGGCTCGCCTGTTCCTGTACAGGCAGTCAGGTCGTCAGCCCACAGTTGACTGAGTTCAGATCAAAGTGGGTGCATTTTAGATGCGTCTTAGAATTTTTCATATTTGTACAGCAATTAGCAGACAGAAAATATTGACGATCATTTGGCCGGTGGTGTTCTTTAAATGCAGATTGCAGATCTCCAAGAAAATACAATTTATTGCTCCCCACATACTTTACTTGAATATTGGTTTGTTGTTTTCTTTTTTTTCCCCAAACAAACATGTTGCTTTTTGCCACTAACCAAACTAACTTAAAGCAAAAGCAAAATGTTAGTGTTTATTCAAACTTTGTAAGTATTGAAACCGCATGCATAGATGGTCTGGGATATTTTCATGCATATCGGCAGTGCATGTATTGAAAGAAGCACTTCCAGTTTTCATTGTTTCATGCTTGTTGTACTTTTTATCAAAATGTTGGGTTGCTGGAAAAGGACCAAACTGGTTCCCTTGTGCTTTTGAAAGGTGGGTGATGTGGGGAGCTGGGGGAAGGGAGGGGAGGAGGGTGTCTGAATTCCTGATAGAGAAGGGTCTGAACTACAAACACGGGACACATCTGCTCAATGGGAATTTTCTAGGGCTGAGAAGAAGGGGAGCGGAGAGGAGGACTGGGTGCTGCATCCAAAGAATATAGTTGTCTTTTGTATAGGCAGGATGATTGAGTTCTGCACAGAACGCAAGACGGCTGGTAGACTCTTGGACCCGGATTCACTGCACTGTTTTCAATATTAGATGCCCTTTGCCTCTGTGTATGGTAGAGAAGAAGTTGCTGAAGGAGCTAGACGCCTCTGGTAGGCACCTCAGTGCAGCAGGGTCGGTCTCAGCCCTCTTGTTCTGGTTTTATTATAGAAAACGATCAGGAAAGTACGAAGCCTCTGGTGAGCCAGCTCGGCCCGTAAGAGTGTGTGAGATGAACGGAGCAGTGACGGCTCCGGAGGCATTTGGGAGTGGGGGTTTGTGGGTGTTTTTTTTTTTTTTTTTTTTTACTGTTCTGCAAGAAAGATGCAGGGCAAAGTAATGCTGTGTTAAGGGACTTGTTAACTTGTACGGCTGCCATCGTCTGGGTTTTTAAGGAAACCACTAGCCTTTATCCTGATGATGGAGCCTTACTTTTCACAGAATGGTCAGGGTTGGAAGGGACCTCTGGAGATCATCCAGTCCAACCCCCCTTTCTTATTTCAGTTCTCCCCAATTATGCTAATGTCCGAATCTTAAAAAAAAAACCAAACCACAAATGGACACTGATTGAGACACAGTCGTCATCTTTCTCCATGCAGATGGGTATTACTCCTGACAGTTACACCAAAAGTTAAAGACCAAGCCCAAACCCCTTGTCCTATGGAGTTTTGCATACAGTGCACTGAACCGTTGGATGGGTGGGGGCTGTTCGTGGCGAACTGAAATGGAGAGGAATGGTCACAGAACTCCTTGGGCTTCCTTTTCTGCAAATCTCAATGCAGTGGGGATTGAAAGAGTGCAGGGCTGACCTATAGTTGGTTTGAGAAGTCAGGACGCGTAGGGCCTCAGTGACTAAACTGGTTGCACTGAACGCAATCTCTGAAGAATTGGTACAAATGTGATAATTGATGCCATCGATGAGGGTGCATTTGGGAACCTTTGTGTCTTTTTTTTTTGCATCTGTTGGTAAACCTTGAAACGTTTCATCCAAATTGGGAGCTGAGAAGTTCTTTTTGGACTCAATTAATTTCAAAGAAGCATGTAACCTTTCTTCCTTTTAGAATTAGAAGAGTCTCCCTTAACTGTGAAGAGTGACATGGCTACTATTGTCAAGGTTATGCAGCTACCAGACTCAGGCCTTGAAATTCGGGACAGGATGTGGTTAAAAATTACCATCTCCAATGCAGTGATAGGTAAGCAGTTCAAAGGAATGCTGGGGGGAAAAAAACAGTGGCTTTTTGGAAACAGGCTGAAGAAACTACCTTTATATGAACTTTTTTTCCCCCCTGTCAATGACCTCTTACATTCCCTTGACTGGTATTTGTGAACAACTGCAAATGTGACAGGAAATAACTAATATCTCTTGTTTGGGTCTGGACAGCCAAAAATACTGCACGTTTCTCATGGCCACACACAGCTGGTCCTTAACCCTTGCTTGTTATAGCTCAGGTTTTCCGTGTAACTACTTGTGGCTCTAGCAATCTGCCCAAGTTCAGCAGAGCACCATCCTTGTAATTCCAGTTCCAGACAGCCACACAACCTTAATAAAGCATCTTAATTACATTTAAAATGACCGCAATTAGTCTGCTTCTGATTCTGACTGTCCTGTGACCTGAACTGTGCTAACATCTGGTCAGTCTAGGTTGTGGTTATTTTTGGTTGAGAGAGCGATTGGAACCCCCCAGGTCTTTGGACAACGTAACATCCATCACTGGAGGAGGATGACCCTCCCGATCACTTCTGTTCTATACATCCCGCCTCATTTTCCTTGCTGCAACTCAGAAGGGGTTCAACAGTGTAACTATAAAATTTTCTGTGTACGTATTTGGTGTCCATGTTAACGTAGCGTCCAACTGGATGCAAGAGAATCCTTTGCTTTCGTTATTGATGTTTGGTGGTAACTAATTTAGCAGTTAGGCTGAGACATGAAAGTAGCGTTTTAAGCTCTTTGCAGCAAGATTGCTACGTGTTTGTATTTGCATTCAGTACCTGGCACAGCGATACCAGTGGGCTGTGTGATAATGTGGAGATTAAAAAGACGAAGAAGATAGTTTTCGGCTCTGATGATGCTGTGTCTCCTCTTCCTGTTCTCATTTTAGGAGCAGATGTGGTTGACTGGCTTTACACACACGTGGAAGGCTTCAAAGACCGACGGGAGGCTAGAAAATACGCCAGCAGCATGTTAAAACATGGCTACCTCAGGCACACTGTGAACAAAATCACCTTCTCGGAACAGTGCTATTATGTCTTTGGAGACCTCTGTGGCAGTAAGTTCCCCACCTGTGCAGGGCAAAGCTGCATGTGCGCTCGCGGGAGAGTCCTGTAGGGTTTCACAAGTGGCTGTTTCAGAACAGGCCATTGTTCGGAAGTTGCATGAAAAGTGTTTGACGCTCCTGTTAAACCAAGCGGTTAGACAACTTGGAAGAGAAGGATGAGCTCATCAAACAGGGCATGGCACCGAGGCTCAAGAAAGCAGGATTTCTTTCTGTGATGCCACAGCCCTCCTACTTGTCAGTCACACTCAACTTCTGATCTGTAAAACGGGGATGATTCCTCCTTGATTTACGGAAGTGCTGCGAAGGTGCCTTGGTGTTCCCTGGTAAAAATTGATGCCTGCCCTACCACGTGTGATATTTTGAGTGAACTCCGGAGGCTGAGGCCCTCTAGTCCCTCACCGCACTAGGTGTCAGCTGTTATTAACATGCCGGACTCAGCTGCTAGGTAAAACACAGCACCTTTTCTCTCTTTTGCAGATATGGCTGCGCTAAACCTTAACAACGGTTCTAGCGGAGCCTCGGATCAGGATACCCTTGCTCCACTTCCGCATCCTGCTGCTCCCTGGCCGTTAGGCCAAGGATACTCGTATCAGTATCCTCTGCCCCCTCCGTGTTTTCCACCAGCATACCAAGACCCAGGCTTTAGCTATGGCAGCGGCAGTGCAGGCAGCCAGCAAAGTGAAGGTAAGATGGTTAATCTGGTATTTATTTCTACCGCTGTCATTTCCCCTAACCATTTGCTTGAGTTCCTTCGTACTGTCTGTGCTCCTGTCTTGTGGTTTTGTATGCAACCTGCATGGATTTGGTTGCGACCGCACGTAATCAAAACTGTTTGTGTATGTGATGGAGTGGGTTAGCCTTTCAGCTCTGTATTGAAACTGCCAGCGATGTTTGAACTGAGTCAGTAGAACAGAACGGAATAGATGCTGTTTATAGTTCCGCTGTAGTTTGTACCCTGTACAAAATGCCAGTGGGGAACCAGAGCCAAGCTGTGTGTCACGTCCCTGGTGGAGTGGGCATCTGTACTTTTCTTACCCAACAGCACCACACGGTAAACTACTGCTGAGATAATGCTGATCAGGCCAACATTAATGACTCTATTGTCCACCCCATTCAAACAGATAAACTATTGCCCCCCTTTTCAGAGGTCAGAGCCATTGCCAACAGTGGGGCTGCAGTCGCCTGATATTGCGAGAAATGAGGCTATTTCGTTGCTGATGGAACAGGAATTAGAACCAAGGTGCTCTTGGCTTTCGCTTCAATGCTCGGTACAAAAGGAAAATCACTCTCTTTGCTTGTGTGAGACAAGCGTGAGGTGGCCGGCCAGATGGTTTACAGGGCTGAAACACTGCTCACAGGGAGGAGAGTCTCTTTTGTAATATATGACAGGGAAAAAAAGATAATACTGCATGGATTAAAAACCTGACCTCCTCCTTTCCTGCTCTAGGATAATTTTGTGGTTCATTTTTAAACCTTAGTAAATAAAAATTATGTATTTTTTTGGCTGTACAGATATATTTTTTTTTTTACTTCCATTTTTAAAAATCACTTCCCGAGTGAGTTTTGGTTTTGGAAATGCTGCTGGAATAGGAAAGGTATGGTATTTTATCCATGCGACCTGTGTGATTGGCTAAAGAGAGCCTTACGAAAGGCCCCAAGGTGTTTAATTTTGAAAGGTTTCAACGCTTTCCTTGTTCTTTTGGAAACTACACTTCTGTGTTGTTTCTTGCTTTGTAACTGTTATTCCCTTGTTTTGTTCTGAGCAAGCGTTAGACTGAAGGATTCATAGAGGAATGGCTGACTCTAGGGGATTGGTAAGCTTCAAACGCCTCCATAACGATAATGAATCCACAGCATGATCATTTAGACTCTTGTGACCCAAATGTTTAGCTGTATTTTTTCTTTTTTTTTTTTTTTTTTTTTTTTTTTTTCCTTTTTAATTGTGTTGGACGCTCAACCTGTCTCAACCTACAGTAGTCCCAAAAGCGTGGCATTAGCCTCTCCAGCTGCCTGGCCCCTGTGTGACTGTGCTGCAGAAGCTGCGGAGGGGGATGGCGTCACACACCTCACCGTCAGCTCAGATGGGAAAATCCCATCACCCGTCTCTTTATTATTAAATACATAATCCCAACTCCTTATTTATTAGCCTGATATCTAGTCTGATGTCATCCACATGGATTGGATTTATCTACCGGTGCCCTTCCACTGCTTATTTAGTGAAAGACACTTGAGCACTGTCGAGATGTCTCAGGCAGGTATTAAGCATCCTGGGACACGAGGTTGCATCGCTCACTCTCAATACAGAGTGTTAGAACCGGGTTTCTTGTGAAGTCTCTTTATGTGCGATGTTAGATCGTAACTGAATTCATCTGGTGAACAAGAGCACCGCTCCAGAGTCCAGTGGATGTCACATGTTCTTTTGAAATGAATGCTGTGTATTTGCTGATGATTACAGACAAAAGCCTAAGGTGTGGGTCAAGAGACGGACTGAGGCTGAAGATCTCACAAAGTTTTATGTGATGTTGCAGTTCTGTTCAAGGCTCTGTTCCAGTTCAGGTTCCTACTTAATTCATCTGAGCCACATCATCTGTCCCTGCTTGTGGTACCCAAGACAGGTTATTTTGAAGGCTTGGGCAGGTTTGCTGTAGGGAGTGGCCCTGGTGTGAGGACCAGCTCCTCTGCAAAACATCCGCTCTGTTACCGTAGTGTTTAGATCAAAGACACGCTATGGAACTGGCGATGAATTCTTGCGTGTGGGGAGCTTGCATCGAGGAGCAATGACTGAGTAAGGTTTGCAGGGTTTGGATGGGTGGCAACAAAACGCATCATGAGATAAAGGCAGAGGCGTATTAGTTGGGGAAGGGTTAAAATCAAATGTCGTTTTTCTTCCACTGTGAACAATGTGCCACACTGGAGAGCTTACAAAAAGGCTTCTTGGAGATAATATCTATGTTGTTCTTCGGAGCAAAGGCTGTAACAGCGAACCTGCTAACAAGTAGTTTCTCCTCTCTTATTTGTCTTTACAAGATTGCTATGAAACAGTGAAATGACAGCTCAGGGAGCACCGTACCTCTTCAAAGGCTCTCCTTAATGAACCTTTGTAGCAGTTGTTGGAGGCAGCTGAGCGCAAGTTAACATCTCCATTTACGGATGGTGGAAAACCGAGGCACAAAGCAGGACAGTAGTTTTCCCGGAGCAGAGAAGAACCGATAGGGGTTGCAGTCTGCAAATACCACTTCAGAGTGGCAGGCTCAGAATACTAACTTCAAGTCCAGTGATTTTGTTTTGTGTGTTTTCCATCTATCCCCAGCTCTTCTTGCACTCTGCAGGGGAGTCTGGCCTTTCTGCTACACACACCGGGTCAGGCGAGTTTTCCTGTCTCTTCTGTTTGCCTGCTCTAAACATCAGCTGGAGCAGACAGAAGGTGATGATCATCTGTCGTTCAAGAAAAGAGCAGCACAGAATCATTCTCTTTTTCTCATTTCGGTGACCCCAGTGGCTCATTCAGCTCAAAAGCCTGTTTCTCTGGCTGGGGATCCTTTTTGGGGAGACAATCTTGCACTAAGGTGGCATGAACTTAACGAGATATTCCGTGGGTTGGTTTGTTGGGTTTTTTTTAAAAAGAATGACTTGGAAATGTCTCTTAACATCATCTAGCCTGTCTCTCATGGTAACAGAGCACAACCTTCAGCTTCCATGTAAAATCAGTTCTGAGGTTTAGTGAAGTTTGTACGTAGCAACAACTCGTCTTACACACCGGCAGCAGTCCTGTGTCTTTCCGAGTTTAGTGGCCTCTGTTGGGGAACATCCTGCCTGTTACTGATTCATCGCGGAGCGCTTCAACAAATAACTGTTTTTTGAAGAATTCTCCAACAACGGAACATGGTAGTGATGAATTTTAAAAGAAAGAACTTTTAAAAGAAGACACTGAAGGCAGCAGAAGGGCGTCTGTTAACCTCAGGTGATTTTGCCCTGGGAAGGAGTGTGCCCAGCGTGCCCAAGGGTGATAGAGAGGGCAAATGATTTCCTTTTTGAAAAGTTTTTGCCGATAGAAGATAGCAAAGATGGAGACAGTTACAATTAGATTGAGCTCGTTTGCTTGAGTCAAAGCCCAAATGCCTGCTTCTTCCTTCTGTTTCTGCTCCTCCCCTCTCTCCGCTAGCGGCAGTGGAGCAGACGGCTTCCAGCCGGTAAATGCTCTTAGCCAGTAGCTCTGGGCTAGCTGCTGCTCTCACCATGTGAGCTCTAAGGTGTCTACGTGTACCTGTGCATGGCACAACCTTGTCAGCTTTGTTCTACCGATTGTCATTGCTAAATCCCATAAGCCACCACCAGCACGTTCAGGCCTGGTTTTGTCATCACTGTCGCCATCGCAGCGGTCATACCCGGATCGGTGGGTTTTGGTAGGAGCTGATGTGGGAGACGGCGGCGGACGTGAGCTAATGCTGTCTTTTTCTCTGTGTCCTTTTCGCTCGTGGGCTCTAGGAAGCAAAAGCAGCGGCTCGAACCGAAGCAACAGCGAGAACAGCAGGAGAGCTCTTGGCAGAGAGAAGGACCGCAAGTCGGCTGGCAGCGGCAGCGAGTCCGACCACACTGCCCGCAGCGGGGGCGGCGCCAGTGTCCTGCGTCGGGAGAGGCCCGTCAGCCAGCTCAGCCACCGGAGTCACGTCTCTGCCACCCACAGCGAGAGAAGCCATCACAGCCATCATTCTTACGGGCCTCCGGGAGTCCCACCCCTCTACAATCTCCCCAAGATGGGCTCCAAAGTCTACGGGACGAGCGGACCCCCTGGAGGACCCCCCGTGAGGGAACTGAGCTCTGTTCCTCCAGAGCTGACGGGGAGCCGGCAGTCCTTCCAGAAGGCTATGGGCAACCCTTGCGAATTCTTTGTCGACATCATGTGAGAAGAAGTGCCTTCAGACTCTGCTTGGGGAAGGGCCGGGGCGGGGGAGGAAGGGGTGATGATTGTTTTGGGGGCGGGTGAGCAATTTGGTCGTTGTCGAACACTTAATGGAAGAAACTTGGCTGTCTTGCATGTCACACCTTCTGGTTTGCAATTGTGTTGCAGAAAAATCAACAAAACATAACAAAAAATACAAAAAAACCACCCCCACGAAAAGGAACAAAAAAACCCCAACTCCTGGGATTGCTAAATATCAGCAAATTGATGGCATCTTTTCTTTATCCTTTCCCCCCCACCTTTTTTTTGATTGTGAATGGCTGGTGTATATTCACATCTTAATGAGCTTTGGTAACTGTGGCACCTACACAATGCAATTAGCGTGTCTTTTTGGCTGATTCAAGGACTATGATTTCACGTGACTTCTAAATTTCCGATAAGGCATAGTAGCACTTTTATATTTTTCCTTGCTTTTTCTCTTACAAGTCAAAAATGACGGTTGGGTAGTATCTGCGATACTGCCGCGTGACGCTGCTTCTTGGATGCACCAGTCAGCGCTCTGAGCAGACGCGGCACCCGCGAGTGTACGGACAACACGTGCTTGGCAAGGAGCAGGCTCAAACCAATTCCTAGCAGAAAGCAAAGCTGTGGCTACCTTCTTCTGCTGACTAGGGAGTATAAATCAGTCTTTCTTTCTTTCTTTTTTTTTTCTTTTTTAAGATATTATTCTATCAAGGGAGTGGTGGAGTCTTGCTACTGTATGTGTTCATTGTGCAGAACTTGTAAAGTTATTTCATTTAGTATCATGGTAGTGACTTTGTAGCTGCGGTCCGTTCCTGGGCATTTCAGTCACATCCCTGCTGACAGATGTGTCTCTTTCTTCTGGTTATAATGTGCACTTGCTTACAGGTTTTAAAACTTTTTTCCACAGAAATAGGACAATTGCTGCTATGCGATTCTGTTAGTGTAGCTGCAGCTTTTCCCTTTTGAAGGGGATGTTCATCCCATTCTAGCAGAGATGTAGGTAAATCCTGGCTCCCCCTGGGACATGGCTATTCATTTTGATCACCTCTTTTTCCGTTCTTAATTTCTGAGCAGTATCTTTCTCTTTTTTTTTTGAAATAGAAACCTGGAGATGTGTAATCCTAATTGCAGTGTTAGCCGAGGGCGCGTGTTCTGAACACAGATGGGGGCTAGCTCTTAGCGGAGAGGTGAGAGGGTGTTTTGAAAACAGTTCATAAATGGTACAACGAATGAATCTTCATACCTGACACAGAGCGAGACCCGTGCTAAGGCTCCTGCTGGGGAGCTTTCACTTAAACAACTGCTGTTGTATATCCCCAAGATTTCATCACTGCGTGTTTCTTGCTCTAAGGCTGTGGACGCTTGATAAAGTATGTTCAGGAACCTTCACTGACGTTTAAGAAGCTTTTTTTTTAAAGTATCTGAATTGAGGGCATGGTACGAGCAGACCCACGCTCTGGTATGGTGGCTCATTTCATGGGAAATCTGTGTTAAGCTGCAGTCACTTAGCGGCATTCGACCATGGGGCCATGCCTCAGCTAAATCCTCTTCCGTGAGATACCTGCTTCTGGCGGGTTTTAGGACAGGTGCTTTAAAATCAGTCTTTACTGTATATAAGCATTTTCTTCACCGGTAAGATGCTTCTTTTTGTTATGTTCCATGCTTTATGGGTAGTGTGAATATCCGATATGAACGTCAACATAGAACATGTCGTTTCTCACTATGTACATGTAGTTTCATGTTCCTGTGTCACCCTGAAAAATTCCTCTTCAAGCTGTCCGTTTTTGTACGTAGTTCATTCTGATAGATTTGTCACTACTTCTGTTCTTATTACAGGTCTGTGGGCAAACACATCCCTTTTACAAAAGTCAGAGCAACATTTGCAACTGTCTGTATTAATTGGAGACTTAAGTCTCGCTTTCAGAAGGGAGCTAGGCATTTAGGAAACACCGTGTCACCCAGACTAGGTACTCCGGTTACTGGGCTTCTGAACTAGCTGAGTGGTTTTGGACAGTTTTCTTTACAAAAATCTCCTGAAAAGCTGCATAACGTTTCCGAAAGCGGTGCTTTCGTCACAATCCATCTGCTGGGGCGAGCATAGATTGCCAAGCTGGTGACGGCTCGTTCAAAAGAACGGCACTACCTACAGCTTGACTGTGCAACAGTATAATTTCTTTTCCTTTCCTCCTCCCAGTAACGCAGCAAAGATGCTAACGAAACTCAGTCAACTGCTTTGAAAGATTGACGTTTAAAGCAATGAAATAAATCAGGGTAAAACAATTCTGTAATTCTGCTACGTCTCCAGGAGACACTGTTAAGAAGTCTGTGACTTTACTGACAATCACTAGTGGTTCTACTTTGAAATTACTTTTAACTTCTCTGGTCTCTTATATATTACGATTTTTCTGGCCCGCTTTGTCTTCAGGCAGAACGTACAGGGCTGGAGGAAAAGACTGTCATTCTAATAAGATATTTCCAGCAGGGATTAAAGCTGGGAGCTGAGCTTTCACCCACGGAAGAAACTTGTTTAATTTCCTTATGTCTTTTCAAGAGTTGCAGTTTACACACCTGCTGGGGTTCTTTTGTCTTGTCGTTATGCTGTTGGCAGAAACTGTTGTGTGTCTTGCTGGTCTTTGCTGCTACCTTGAAACGACTGTGTTATATCCTTGAGTGTTTGTGGGTAACTCTGGGATGAGGCTGATGGTCCGTAACACAAGGTGTGGGAAAGCGTTGGTCCGCTGAGGAAATGGGGCTGCTAAATCCGGCCTGAACGAGCTGTCCCCGCAAACGGGCACCCGTTTCGGGCAAGTGAGGAGCGCTCTGAATGTACCGTCAGATGTGCCGGCTGGTCAGTACCGTACGGCGCGTAGAACCCGCTAGTTACAAAGAGCAGTAGGAGAATGTAAATGACCCTTCTGTGAACAGTGCAATACGTAATGGCCACTGCGCGTGAAACAAAAGCTTGATCTCCCCGCCGCGTAGCGTACAGCGGAGAGGCTGGTTTGAGTGAAGGCGAAGGGAGGCCTGAAACATTGCTAGCTCTTAATTGTCAAAAGTGAACGAAGACAGGAGATTTCCCAAATCCCATCCTTGGCCTTCAATGCATGTGCATGTGTCTTTGCAACGCGGGGGCCTTGGGGCCCAATTGTGCAAGTTTCTCCTGCGGGGTACAGCACTACCTGCAGAAGGAAGTGCCGCTGATGCCAACCAAGCTCCTTGCCATAGGGAGTACCGTGCCAGGTGGAAGGAAGTTTGAAGGCTGGAGTCCTGCAGAACTGTCTCTTTCTCTCACGCTTTTCTCTGGTTTTAACGTCAAGTGACCGGCGCTGGCTGGGCTCTGGAAGGCATGACCTGTGCCTCCGACTGCAGCGAGGAGTTAGGGGCTTGCTGCGTAGGGCGTGGAATCAACCTCGTAACGGGAGCCTTAAGTAGTTGACGTTTTTACTCTGGAAGTGAGACCCTCAGCATCTGCCCGTGCTCCGCGCCTGAGCTTAATGTTCACGCATACCTGCCAACAGCTTTTAACAGGGACTACAGGTATGTTTGGAAAATCATAGAAAACGATGAGAAAACGGTTTGGGATGACGTCTCCTATCCACAGGAGGCAGTATCTGTAGGGGTAGTGCACCCACCCAGTATATTAACTCCGAGGAGTAAGTTTTTTGGCAAATAGTCTTAAAAGCACTGCTATTGTCTTTTACCTCCTGTTAATAAATCTGCTTTTCAAAGGTAACAGTCCCCTGGACACTTTATCCAAAGGTGTATTGGATGGCAAGCAATGATGCACAGACATTGACTTTTGATATTATTTTTGTTCTATTCAAATGGGCAGTCCCATCTTGAGACTTGACGGCTCATGAGTTGATGTAATTGTTTTTGTTTTGCATTTAACTGGATTGTAATAAGATTGACTTAAAATTATTAATTCTAATCAGTGATTAGAAATACATGTAAAGAATTTTATGTACAGTAGAGGAACAAAGTTACATGATTTTAAATAATGAAAACCCAGACTATCACCTATTCTAGAATTGGTTCTACTCAAAGAGTGACCTCTTACTAGCATGGACTGCACTGTTCCTGTTAAATGTCTATTGCATAATTGAATTCTTTTTTGTAGATATTGTATTAAAACCCAAGTGTCTGTATAGTTAATATATAGCTGCTTATGTGTAAATGCTATTTTAAACACTAAAAAGCTTTTAATTTTATGTGATAACCACAGTGTATGTCTTCAGTTCTTTGCGCTACTGCGTTATCCTTTATTCAAAAATGATGAAATATTGGTTGAATCTTACTCTTACTCTTTTTTTTTTTTTCTTCCCCCCCCCCCCCCCCCCACCACACTGAAGTTTTGTCCTCTCGACAGGAGATGGTTCAGGAGCTAATAATAGGCAGCTGGGAGTTTGGTGATTTAATGGTACTTCAGAAGTGCTTAACAGTTCAAAGCATGACAGGAGCCCTGTAAATGTTCACGGCTAAACGGGGTCGCAGATGATTGAAGCGCAGTGGCCTGACTCTTGCTTGCGGGTTAATGACATCTGACCGCAAAGGCAAGACCCTGCCGTTCACCAGAAGAGCTGTAGCTTTGAGCTGATGATGTATATATTGGTGCAGAAGTTGTGCTTTCCCCTTAAATTGCCCTACCTCTTAATTATTCAGCTTCTCCCTCTCACAGCTTGGCAGGAGTAGGTACACAGGAAAGGCTGAAGAAAGTTTGTGGAAGTAAAAAAGACAGCTGGAGGATACGTCCTGTTACAAAGACATGAGCTGGAACAAGTTTTCCTGCCTGCAGACCCAGGAAATGAATCTGCTGGTAAAACCCAGCTGTTTCATGTGAATATTCCCTTTTTCTGGACTCTGCGCACAAACTCCCAGCAGAGACGAGCTAGGATCTAACTGGTAAGCCTTAAACCACAGCGTCTGTGTCACACAGCACGAGGACACCGAGCCGCCCTGTAAGGTCTGAGTGGTTCATGTAGAAAGAACAACTGCAACCTGATGAGGCAGATTCCCTCTTCATAGCTGGTAGAGAACAAGCAGCAAAGGGAGAGACAAAATCCTAGTTAATAGGGAGGCACCAATTAAAAACGGTGCAGTTCTGCAGCAGATTATATAGAAGCCTGGAAGAAAGTCGTGCAGAGTTTCCCATATTCTCCTTTTCAAACCATATTTAGTTACATAGGGTGCAAAATGGTCTGGCCAGCATTTTCCCAGTTAGGTAACTATTAAATGATCAGAATTTCGGATGGTGCTCTTGCAGCTTTT